AAAAAAAAAAAAAAAAAGCCCTTGTGACAGAAATTAGTTTAATCTTTTTTAAATCCCCAATTGCGTCGCCAGCCTCTGGCCTCGCCGCTGCCAACCCCGGGCTTCACAATGAATTTTAACACCACACACAAAAAAAAAATAAAAAAAAATACGCTGGCTGCTTCCCTTCCCGTGTGTTGGGGGGGGAATTGAGGGGGGAGGAGGGAAGGAAGATGCTGAGGATGGATGCGGGATTAAAAAGCAAAAAAAAAAAAAAAAAGCCCTTGTGACAGAAATTAGTTTAATCTTTTTTAAATCCCCAATTGCGTCGCCAGCCTCTGGCCTCGCCGCTGCCAACCCTGGGCTTCACAATGAATTTTAACACCACACACAAAAAAAAAAATAAAAAAAATACGCTGGCTGCTTCCCTTCCCGTGTGTTGGGGGGGGAATTGAGGGGGGAGGAGGGAAGGAAGATGCTGAGGATGGAAAATCATCAGTAATTTATCCCTGGGCACGATGAGGCCATGGGCAGGAGCCCGGGGGGGATGTAGGGATGTATTCTCACTCGGTAGCAGTGGTGCCCAGGCTTTTCCTCCCTCGCCAGCCCATAATCACGTTTTTGGTGGTTTGTTTGGGTTTTTTTTTTTTGGAATTTCTCAGAATTATCCCCCCCCCGGAGCAGTGGTGTCTGTCTGTGCCTATTCCCACCCCCAACTTCCCCAGTGCAGCATCACTGGAGCTGCTGCGCCAGGGGAGGGAGAGGGGAGGCAGAGCCTGCTGGGGGCCCTTGAGATGCTGGGGAAGAACAACAAAACAAGAATCCCCCCCCAAAAAAGAGGAAAAAACTCCACCCACCCCCCTAAACATGTTCTAAGTGTACTTTGTTTGAATTAATTGTAATGTAATATATTATTTGTCAAATGTAGCAATTAGGTATTTATGAATATATTGCTGTAATTTCTGAAAACATCCAAAAATAATAATAATAATGATAATAAACTCTTCCACAACGACGGCAAAGGATTCTTTCTCCCCCAGGGGTGGTGATGGGAAAGCAGCCCTGCTTCTGAGCACCCCCCACCCCCCCCCAAAATCTACCCAGCTCCTGCCACCCTCACCTGGCCCCAGGGGGAGGCAGCCCAGGCGGGCAAGGGCACAGATGGCAAGCAGGAGCCAGGCGGGGGCTGGCCCAGATGCTGGGGGAAGGGCACAGCTCCCGGCTCGATGCCGTTGGGTGGGAGCTGGCGTTTTTTCCTCCTCCCCCCCTCCTCCTCCTCCTCACCCGTAATAATTACATCTGCCATCCACGCCGCCCGGCGCCGGGGAGGATCCTGCCCCTGCCGCAGGGGAACGGGGCCGCAGCCAAAAGGAGGAGAGAGGCAGCTTCTTCCAAGCCTTGTTTAACCCACGGACACTTGATGCACAGCGGGTGACAACACGGGCACTAATTTGATGCCATTCACTCAGCTGCAATTATTCTTTTTTTTTTTTTTTTTTTTACTTTTTTTTTTTTTACACGCACCGTTTTTTTCTTTTTTAAAAAAAAATATCTGAAAAGTCAGACATACGATATTACAAGACAGCCTGGCTCTGGAGAGAGAAAGCCATTTTCTTTTGTCCTTCTCCAAAGAGCAGATGGATCTGCTTCCCAGCTGATCTCCTCCCCAGCAGAGCAGCAGACACCTCTCCTTGCCGGCACATCTTCCCCCCCTTTTTTTTTTTTTTTTTTTTTTTTTTTTTTTTTTTTTTTTTTTTCCTCTTTCTCCAAGGCTCTGAGAAAATTCACGGCGAAGCACCGCCTGGAAATTTATTGCTTTTCAAGCCAGTGTGTGGCCTGTGCTGCCCTCAGAAGTTCCCTCTATGAAGTACACCCACGCTCTCCGGGGCAGAGAGATCTGCCTGACATCATTAGACAGCAGCCAGGCGCTGGCAAGCCACCACCTGCACCCAGATAGATCTTTGAACCCAAGAGAGAGGCCACCTCTGCAAAGAGGCAGCAGGTAGGAGCTCCAGGCAGGGATGCTCCTGTGCCATCGGAAGCTCCAGAGTGATTCCCATCCAGCCATGAGGCTGCCTGCTCTCTCCCCTGCCTGCCTGCCCGCAGCCAAGGAGGAGTTGCAGGCAGAGGAGGGGACAGGAGGTTCAGGTGGCTTCGGAAAGATCTGTAGAGGGTGGCCAGATGAAGGTCCAGGGGTGAGGAACGGAGCCTGCTCCCTTCCACTGCCCTCTCCTGGCTCATTCCTCAGAAATCCTGGGAGCGGGCACTCTCGCCAGGCTGGAGGTTTGTCCGGAGCTTGTACATGTGATCTAAGGCTTGAGTAAGGAAAGTCCCGGTGGTGTTGATCTCCATCAGGGTTAAGTTATCCAGCTAAAAGAGAACAAGAGGAGAACGTGGGGAACCAGCCCTGCCGCAGCAGAGGACAAGGAACTCAGAAAGCAGCTCTGCAGCCCACGCTTTCCCTTCGGTGACACCCCAAGGGATGGGCCCAGCTGCCACCCCCGGCCAAGAGCAGCACAGGAGGAACGAGAGCTCTATTTCCCTAAAGTGGGGTGGGGTGTGGGGGGGAGCTGCAACCGGCCCCTAAAGCAAGGTTTCAGCATATGGCTCCGCTTCCCAACTGACATACCCACAGCCCAGGAAAAAAAAACCAAAAAAAAAACCAAAAAACATGCCCCAACCAGCATTTTCATGAGCAGCTCTCATCAGTCACAAGCCCACACGGCATCTGGAACCCTCCCAGAGTGGAGCTGGAGGAGCATTTTTGCCACCACCCACCCCCCTCGATGCCTCCCCACTGCACCTTGGCGTGAGCCTCCTGCTGCCTGACGAAGCTGTCCGCGGAGAGCCGCAGCTTGGCGATCCGGGTGTCCCAGGTATCCTTCACCAGCGTCCGGATCTCGTCGGCTTTGGGGATGTTGTCAGAGGCACTGGAGGAGAAAAGAGAGAGAGAGAGAGAGGAGAACAGGCTGCAAGGGACTCGTACGTTATGTCAGCGGCATAAGTAATGTTGGCAGTTCTTCAGCCCCTCTGAGGCATAAGCAGAGCAGTTTGCTACAGAGGGAAAAGAAAAAAGACACAAAAAAATGAAGACAACCTGCAACTCAACATTAAAATCCAGCCTGGTACTTCTGCTGCTGGGATTTTTTGGGATAGTTTATTTACCCAGGAATGCTCAGCCCTGATGCAGCATCTGGTTCTCACTAGAATCCTTCTGCTCTTTAATTGCCCAGCTGGTACAAGGTACACGGAGGGCCAATAACCCGGCCAAAGTCACAGGCAGCCAGGGAATTGAAAGGACTCAGCTGCGATTAGAGCCCCGGCTTCTGTGCTCTTGTGGCTCTATCAGAGAGTATTAAGTTGAAAGGACTGTACGAGTTGTGCCACATCCTCCCATTAAAGCAATTCAGCGCCGCCATAAGGACCTCGAGAGATCAGATCAATTCACAGGGACAGAGCTGTCAGGGTTATTCTAGCGTGAGGGAAAGGAGCCGCACGCCAAGAGCCTCATCTCCAGAGGAAAAGCCAGTGCTTAAACGACCACCCCGCCGTAATCGAGGGCTTAAAGTCAGAAGAGCCCCGGCGCTGAGAAAAATACCAGCCAGCACATTTTACAAGTGAAATGCCTCAGCAGGCAGGAGTTCAGGCTCGGAATATCCCCCGGTCTCCTGCTTCTCAGGCTGAGGAAAGAGGAGCTTTCCTCCTGAAGGAGAGCCAAGGAAGAAGCCTGGAGGGTTTAGGCTGCTGAACAGATTGCAGCCACGGAACGTGTTGCCGATCCTTAAGGCCTCTCCGCTTAGCTGCCGCTCAATAAAGCGGCACAGCCCCAATTATCAGGCCGCAGAACAAGCAATTCCCCAAGTTACTGAAATGCAAAGTTACCCTGAGAAAACTGCTGCAGCGAGATCTTGGCACGCCGTGAAATAAACCTCCATTAACTCTCACTTTCCCACCGCCCTCTGGGGTTGCTGCCAATGAAAGCTTGAAAAATTGTCTATGCAAGCATGTAGTCAGGCGGAAACTGTTACAATACATTTCCTACTTACTAGTTTAACAGCAGCTTTGTGAGTTCCATATAATAGGGGCTGGGCATCGGAGTGAAGGTGTCCTCTTTACGTTCCCGGTCCCGGATTTCCTCCAGCTTTTCTAAAATACAACCAGGAACAGACCTTCAACACTCCACATTTTTATCCCCCCTTACCCCAGGAGAAGCCACGCGCTGTTTCTGTAGGATCAACTCTATGTTCAGGGTTGAATTAACGTGCAGAGAAAGGTTTCTGTAATGAAACATCCAAGGATGCCGACAGGAACATTGAAATCACATTTAGCACACCACACCGGGATGCTGGATCTACACCAGTTTGATCCCCAAACTGATCACCTGTGGGGAAACAGTCTCTTCACCCACAAAACTAATTAGTGTGTGTGCCCCCAAATGGATAAAGCAGGAACACTTTGGTGCAGCTCCCCCTCTTATCACAGCTCCATTAGCATTTACTTCTCGCCTTTCTCAGCTTCCCTCGAAATGACAAAAGGGAGCCTACCATGGTTCTCACTTTTTACAGAGTGAGACGACCTCCCATTTCCGATGGCCTTGAGGAAAATGATTCCATGGATGAATGAATGAATGAACCAGTGATTAAAACACATATAGGCTCTCCAGGGTCTCCCTCCTCACAGAGTGACACAGGAGGTTCCTAAAACTCTTTCTGAACAAGCCTGGTGAGAGATGGAAGCGCTGCTCAGAAAGACCAGGGGCTGCTGCTGAAGATGAATGGCTGAGCTGCGGGCTCAATCTAACCCTTGCTCTTCCTCCTCACCAGAGGAACAGAAGTTAAATACCTGAATTAACTGGGAAGATTACATCTCCTGTAAATATAAGGAATTTCAGCTGTGGAACATTAAATTATTTTCTCAGAGTTACTGTGTGTTTGCTGAATTAAGCTTTCCAGTAATGGTAAAAACCAGATTTTTTTAATTTTGTGTTTCTGCTCAACCCACTGAAGCTGCCGTTCTTACCAACATCCATCCATTCCGGAGGAATCAGCCGACACTTCTGCCTCTGCTTCAGATTAATGGCCAACCAGACAGGCACTTCCACCGGCAAGCCAGGATTGAAAGGACCCAGGTCTCCCTGGAAGACAAATTGGAGACGAGAATAAGGCGGCAGCGAGGGCTGGGACACTGCAGTGCTCATCTGCTTGTTTGGCCTCAGCCATCTCCAGAGAGTGTGAGTTTCCAGGGGATTTTGAAAAGCCCGAGTCAAACAGCACCTGAATTTCCTCCTCTCGCTCCCATAATTCTTACTCTCAGACTTTTCCTCCTCTCCCTCGAGAAGCAATAACTAAGGTTTCCAGTGTGTTTTCTAGTTCAAAGCTGGTTTCACAGAAATTGGAGCCAGAAATCACATCTCTCCTGGAAACGCAGCCCCCCTCCCCGGGCTCGGGCTGAGGTGCTGTCAGAGGCACAGGGCAGCACAGCACAGCCCCCAGGGCAGCCCCCAGCCAAGGCTCAGGTGCCAGGGGGGAAGGCTCCAGAGAGGTGGGGGGACAGCACCACCCCCTCCAAAACCTCCTGGGGGGCTGCCCTGTCCCCCCTCCCAGCCTGCTGCCCCCCTCTCCTCCCCATCTCTGCCCCTGTCCCCATCACGTCAGACCCGAAAACCTTCCAGGTCCTTCCCCCTGCCCCACAGCCCCTCTCACTGTTCCG